GTCATTGTTGTTATTAGACTTCAGGCTAATGAAATATGCATGGAAATGAGTCGTGTAATCGCAGATTAGCCAACTTCAGAAACAGGAGTTGGGTCTGGTGGCTGCTTTTGTGGTCCCAGACAGAGCATGTGACATTTGGGGCTGGGCCGTAGGAATTGGCCTTTAGATGGGAAGGAAGAGGAAATGCTAATGCAGAGAAAGGGGCCAGAGAGCACAAAGTATGTCGAGATGACACTAAATCCCTCACTTTGCAGGGACCTGTGTGTCCGTGTAGAGGAGGAGTAGGAGAAATCGCTGGGAAGATGGGATGGAGCCTGACTGTAGAGGGCTGCAGGAGAGGCTGGCCCGTGTCTAGGAATCAGAGGAAGGGCCACTGGAGATGCAAAGTAACATGATGAAAGCCACACGCTGAGGCTTTTAGGAGGAATGTGCTGAAAATGTAGCACTTAAAAGTGAAATTGAATATGAGAGAAAACTGGAAATAGGGCGATTGGCCATCTAGTCTTGTAAATTATCTTTTATTGTCAGATAAAATTCATTTAAAGCCCAGCTACCTTCCTCCCAAATTAGATATAAATGTCCCATGTTGAATCCAGTCAAGAAGCAAAGGACAATAGAATGGTTACCATCCTAGGGCAAAAGAATTAGGAAGTAAGATGGCGCAACAGACCCTCACTTCTGAATCCCAAAATGTGTCCATTCCATAAAGGTGTACACTTTTTCCCATGAAACGCTGTGAAATACGACTTCATTGGCACAGTCATATACACAGGAACGGGGTGGAAGAAACAAAGCCAAGTGGAAGCAGGTCTGCAGGGTCCTCAGCAGGCCCACCGCGGAAGCACACTCCCTCTCTGCCTGGTGCAGTGGATGCCCCGCCCTTTGTGCCTCATCAGGATGACACCTGAAATTCTTGTCATGGATGGGATCGCTTTGACGTTGTTTTTGTTTTTGTTTTGTTTTGTTTTCCTTTAATCCCTTTTTTTCCAAAGTGTGTTTCAGGTCAGCCTAGTTCTTCCACTTAATTACACCCAATCTGCCCTCATATCAGAAGAAAGTCTTCCTCTGGCCTCATAGTCTTGTCTTCACTGACAGCGTCCCATCTCCTAAGAGTAGGAATCACACAAACACAATTTCTCTTTCTTTTTCTTTCCCTTCCTTCCCCCCACCCCCCATCTCTCTTCCTCTCTTTTTCTCTCTCTCACACACACAATAGTTCTCTAACTCCTTTTAGGAGTCATGTACCACCCTAGAAGCTTTCTGTGTTTCAAATTCTCTTTTGAGGTTTGGCTTTTTTTCACCTGCACCCCTACCCATGCCTCCCACATTATAAGAACCTATTAGAAAGCCTTTAAGGACTACCTGGTTATGAAGGAGGTGGCAGAACCAACTCTAAGTGACCTTGGGTATTGGGTTGGTTATAAGAACAGGAAGAGAAGACATCCCTTAGGTCAAATTCAACTACAACTGGCTGCTTTACTGAGTTCCAAAACCTAGGTCAGTCAATTATTTCACGTTAACATGCATGTTGTAATTGACATCTCGGCATATCATAATTGACATGTCAGGCAAGCAGTCGCTGATGAAATGTCATATTTAATGACTAATTTCAAAATTTAGAAAAATCCTACAATGAATTCAGCTTTAGTCATGTTTTCCTCATGTTCTATTCTAACCCAGTATTGAGAAGTAATGGACTTATTTATTTTAAATTAAAAGTTGGATCAGCAGGTGGCATAGTGGTTAAGGTGCTAGACTCCCACAAGATGAATGCAGTTTGAATCCTGAATCCAGTAACTTGAAACTCACACTGGGTGCATGTGCGTGTGTGCCCAAAATCCCAAGAGGAGAATGGAAGAGAAGGGATTGTGGCATGGCCATTCCACCCTGGGGGGGATGATTTCTCAGTCTCTCTCTTTCTCTCTGTCTTTCTCTGTGTCTCCAGTGAGTACATGCCATATAACAAAAATCTCTTAAAAATTTTCATATATATACATACACATACATATATATATTTACATGTGGATTGTATATATATATGTATGTATGTATATAAAGTTAATTGATAGATTCCTTATCTCCTTATGTTTTCTATGACTCCTGTTACTATAAGCACACCTATAATAAAGTTACACTCATCCATTTATATTCTCTAGATATTCCCTGAAAACACACACACACACACAACTAGCTACCATATAATTCACTAACAAGACGGAAGGAAGGTCACGCAAATACATATTATGAAGTAACCACTATATATTAACCCCTCCCCAATCTAAGGAGGGGGGTGACCTGCCAGAGCTTCAGTGCCTTACTTGGTTCTCAGCTTCTTAAGAAGGCCCCAAAATGGTGCATGAGCCTTCCCCCAGGCCAGCAAAACAACCCCCTATCCTCAATGCCCAATCCTTGTTTCCTCCTGGCCTTCCTTTCTGTAGTACCCCCTTTGTATCCCCTTTTCTCTTTATTCATGATGGGGCTCTTGCATGCACTTGAGAGAGAAAGCACCCCCTCAACGGGGCCTGGTCACACCACAATCCTCCTTTCTCCAGTTCTCTATCCATCAGACCCTGGACGTGCAGGGACTTCCCCAGCATGTTTCCTCGGATGACAGGATTCAAACCCCAGTTGGCCATAGGGGATCTGGCTTCCTCTGTACAGTTCTTAACCACCTTTTTGAAAGTTCAAAAGAGGAAAGTCTGCAGCTGTTGAGGAACACATCTCCAAGTATTTTGTTTTAGCCTAAAGACCTCCAGATGAAAAGCCTGCCTCATACCAATCCAACAGACTCCAGTAACCCAGGGTAGCAGTCCTGCAGGTTAGGAGCAGTCATCTCCAGCTCCAGGAAGAAATGCAGTGTGTGAGACTTTGTCTTTCTCTCTCTCTCTCTCTCTCTCTCTCTTTCTTCCTTCCTTCTTTCTTTCTTTCTTTCTTTCTTTCTTTCTTTCTTTCTTTCTTTCTTTCTTTCTTTTTCTTTCTTTCTTTATTCTTTCTTCCTTTTTTTTGTCTTTCTTTCACCAAAGGGCACATATGCCTGCATGAGAAGGGGAACAAGGGAAGAAAAAAGTACCCCCTAGAAGGGCCTAGTCATGTGCAACCTTTTTCCTCCATGCACCTGTGTTTTACAAGCCAATGGACTAGGACTCGAACCCTGGTCACCATGTGGGATCTGATTTCCTCTGTACAGTACCTTACTGCAGTGTTATGAAGTGGCCAAGAGACTTTAAATTGCTTCCATTTTACTTAGAATTGAGGTTTGTCTGGCTGCATGTGGTCCCATGACTTTCCTGTAATGGCTGGTTTCTCTGGCCAGTGAATCAAGCGTGGAACGCCAGTTAGAGGCCTGGTGTGCGGTCAGTGTGGGTGGTATAAGATACAGTGTATAATCATGTGATCCCATTTCATTCCATCTTAAGCAAACTCAATACCAGAGCTAATGGGAGCTGGCTATTTCCTTGTCTTTATGACTCCAGAGCTGCTTGGCCAGAAAGGAGTTGAAGGCCAAGGTGAAAAACTTGGTGGGAACATGGCCTAGAAGCAGACAAGCATGCTTCAAAGCACAGCATTTTTGATGGAGTCGTAATTGGCTCTCTTTTTATCTCTGCAGCTTGGGCATAAACTGCCCCCTGCTGCCTGACACAGAGAAGTACATTTCAGATGTCCACTCTTTAGAATCGTATTCTGAGTTGCCTGCAGTGAGTGGAAAGCACACTGGCCTAGAGGCAGGCAGGCTCCAGGAGCCACAGACATCATAGGTCACCCAGAGTCCCTCCTGTGTGAAGATGAAGGGAAGGTGGGGGGGTTGGGAGCAGCAGGTCTTTTTTTTTTTAAAGACATAGTCCTCCCGCCTCAGCGTCTTGAATAACCAGAATACAGCCCTGCGTCACCACATCTGGCTTTTTTTAAAGTGGGCCAAGAATCAAACCTGGGTCTCCCATGTGGTCTCAGCCTATGTCTTAACAGCACAGGCTACTGAGGCTGGGCCAAGGCAGCTTTTATAAGAAAGACGATCTTGGATTTGGAGAGCTGCCTCATGACCCCTTCTGCAACCTTGTTTCTCAAACTATGGTCTGAGCCCAAGCAGCATTGGATCACCTGGGTACTTGAGAGAAATGCTGACACTCAGAGGGTGCCCCATCGCCTCATGATAAAGGGAACTGGATCCTAAATGACTGACTATGGTTCAAATCCCAGCTCCAGAAGCTTGGGAGGGAAAAGAAGAAGAAGAAAAAAAGTGTTGGGCATGTGTGATGCATGACCCAAATCCTGACAGCATGAAGATATGGAGGGGACACTGAAGCATGACCACAGCCCATTAGGAAGTTCTCTGTGTGTGTGTGTGTGTGTGTGTGTGTGTGTGTCTGTCTGTCTCTCTCTCTCTCTCTCTCTCATGTACATACCCTCTGGCGATTTAAAAAAAAAAGTAAAGAAAGAAAATGTGGGTCCTCAGGCCCCATCCTAGCTCTGCTGAGTCAGAAACTGCATTTTAAACAAGATCCCAGGTGATTCACACACACATTTACATGAGAAGCCCTGAACCTCAGGAGCTGTAACCCTGGAGAAGGTCCACTGTTCCCTAAGGTTTGGATCCAATCAAATTCAGTTAGAACAGTGAAAAAACACAATTCCATAGGAGCATTTAATTCTCTGTTAAGATCGTGAATGCCTAATGTCTTTATTTTCTTAATATTTCTGTTTATCTGTCCTTGCATTTCACTAGCTCTCTAAATTGCATCCAAAGACATGTTAACTTGCCGTATTTCGCATGACTTGCTATGTTTCAGCAGCATCTGGCAATCGCCAAGCCGTGTTTGGAAATCAGTCTGTCCCAGGAAGGACGTGACGGCGTCTGGTTTTATCTGTGGCAGCCTCGTGTTTGCCGTCTTTCTCCTTTGCTCACCTGCCTGATGTTGAGAGCAGCAGCTCGACCCCTCAGGATGGAGCTGGCCCTGGTGGATTGTCCGTCTGTTGCTAACCTGGAGTGTTCTTTCCTGCGCCAGGTCAGGGAAGAGTGCCGGCTCCTGAACGCCCCACCTGTTCCACCCCGAAGCGCAAAGCCTCTGTCCACAAGTCCCTCCATCCCTCCTCGCACAGTCAAGCCAGCGCGGCCACAGACTCGCTCTCCCAGCCCCACCTTGTCCTACTATTCTTCAGGGCTGCACAACATGTAAGTCTCCTTGCCAGGTCCCGCTGCAACCTCGTCTTCTCACCAGCCAGTTCACGCTAGACAGGGTGGTGGAAGAGGGGCTGTTCTGGACTGGGAGTAGGGGAGGTCATACCTTTAAGCAGAATAGCATAGTGGGGCTTAGCTCTGAGCTAGCATGGGAGGGCCAATGTCTTAGAAAAGATGCTGCAAAAAGCTGAGAAATTCAGAGATAAGGGCACCTGGATTCTCTTGGAAGCAACTCGGACTGGCATGAGCCCTCACAAACTGTAACTGATTCTTTCCGCATAGACAACACCTTCAGCCAGGACCTAGAATGAGCACAGTGTCTGTGGCTCTCTCCTCTGAATTTCTGGCCAGAAAGGAATCCCTCGTGGCCTTCACTGTCTGGTAGTCATTGCCTCTGGTCTGGACGTAGTCAGGACTGTGAGCTCCCTCCTCTGCAGCTCGTTCTGTTGTTGGCAGTGCCAATGATATTTTTTTTTTCCTTTTAAGGAATCTGTCATAATACTGAGTTGAAATTTACCTCTGTGTAACTTTCAACTATTTCTTACGTCTAGGCAAACCAAAATAGGTCCACCCCACTTCTCTTTGTCAGATCATAAAAAAAGTTGAAGTCAGCTGTAATGTACATCTTATCTTCTTCAAAAGAAGCAACCTGAATTCTGTCTGCTGTGTTTCCTGTCATCGCTGCCAGCCTTGTTCCCCCCATTATGCACACTCTAGTTTCCTATCACTCAGAGAATATGACCCTTAGAATTGAAGGCACCTGTTCTCCTGTGATCTTTACAGTTTAAAGCAGCTCTCTTGGCAGGTATTTGTGTATTTTGGACATTTCAATCCTCATACTCATGTTACTCTATTGTAACAAGCCAAGGCAAGCATAAGCTTTTTATGTGAAACATGTCTTCCTATCCCAGATTTACAGATAGAACTAGTAGTGGTGAGATAGTCATGTCATGTAGCACAGGGGTGGCAATCATAAGGCTCATGGACCACTTCGCCTGACCCTTGCCCACTGCAGACATCACCAATCAATCTTGGCACCTACTGGTACAAAGCCTAAGCACCAGTAACAATGATTTTTTTTGTTGTTGTTAGCATAGATATATAAATACATACAGACGCACATATATATGACTGATATATATATATATATATGTGTGTGTGTGTGCTTTTCCGTATCCACTATAGCATATTATATATCCATATGTAATATGTACATATCCATAATTGCCAATATGCTTTATTAATGCAAAGATTATTTTTAATCCAATAAAGTTAGCAGATACTTTACTGAATTCCTGAAAAGAAATACTTTTTTTTTTCCTGACCGCACTTTTCTATGTGGAAGTAACATTGGTAAATAGCAAAAGGCATGGGATTCGGCTTTTTTTGTTACTTTTAGTTTTTGACTAATTTCCCTTTCTGTGTTTGCTTTTCAGCAGCATTACTAAAAGTGACACAAGTCCTTCTGAAAGTGTTCCTGTTTCCTGCTATCCATGTAACCGAGTGAAAATGGATTCTGTGGACTTGAAATCCCCATTTGGAAGCCCTTCGGCTGAAGCCCTGAGCTCCCGACTCTCATGGCCTAACCATTATTCAGGAGCCTCAGAGAGCCAGACCAGGAGTGATTTCCTGCTGGATCCAAGCAGGAGTTATAGTTACCCTAGACAGAAGACACCAGGCACACCAAAGAGAAATTGCCCAGCACCCTTCGATTTCGATGGCTGTGAGCTCCTGACCAGCCCTCCCAGCGCAGTCACTGCAGAATTCAGTAGCAGCGTCTCTGGTTGTCCCAAGTCAGCCAGCTACTCTCTGGAGAGCACAGACGAGAAAACTCTCACAGCTGGCACAGCAAAGCAGAGTCTCTCATGCCCTGCCTTACCCCCCAGAGCCCCAAAACTAGTAGAAGAAAAAGCTGCCTCCGAAACATCTCCTTTGCCTCTGAAAATCGATGGTGCTGAGGAAGACCCCAAGTCTGGGTCCCCAGACCTCACTGAAGACCAGTATTTTGTTAAAAAGGGCATGCAGGATATCTTCTCTGTTTCTTACCCTTTCTCATCCCCACTCCACCTCCAGCTGGCCCCCCGGTCCTGTGGGGATGGCTCCCCATGGCAACCGCCCACTGACCTGTCGGGACTCTCCATAGAGGAAGTATCCAAGTCACTGCGGTTCATTGGTCTGTCTGAAGATGTCATAGCATTCTTTGTCACGGAAAAGATTGATGGGAACTTGCTTGTTCAATTGACAGAAGAAATCCTCTCAGAGGATTTCAAATTGAGCAAACTGCAGGTGAAAAAAATAATGCAGTTCATTAATGGCTGGAGGCCCAAAATATAGCCAAATAACCCCAGCTAGCATGGAACAGAACTGATAAACGTGTGTGCTAGAAGGGGTGGGCTGGGACACAACTTCATGTTTTTGCACTAAAAAAAGAAAAAAAAAAAAAACAACCTTCTCTGTAAATAGGGATAAGAGATACTCTTACTATGCAGATTACGTTTTTGAATGGTGAACAGGCTATTTTGTACATCAATAAAGACGCTGTACAGAACACTTAGAGGTGTGCCTTGTACGTCACTCAACACTCAACAGCTGCTAAAAGGAAAACGGCATGTTCAGAGAAATCTTCTTACCCGAGTAGGTTTATGTGAGAAGGTATGATATTTATTACAAAATAGCCAAAGCTGAAAGACATGAGAATCTTTAAAAAACATTTTTGAACAACTCCCTATTTTGGGGGGGGTGGGGGGTGACTTTAGACAATTAACTACGTTCTGTGCTCTGTCATTTGGATTGCTTACTGCTGATTGTTTTACTCTTGTGCCTGAAAATGTTAGTGATATGAAATGACACTTATACGTGATATGCTTGGTGGGGATCTTTTTATCAAAAGACATTTCCCAACAGTCATGTATGGCAAGAGGATATGTGATGTCCTTAGAAATAATATGAGTCATGACCACAATAATTTATCTGTAACTGCTGCTAATTTCATTGAGCAGGAGAAAAAACAGAATATGGATATACGTGTGTGTCTGTGTGTATGTATGTATATATATATATATACACGCACACAAATATCTATTTTAAACATAATTTTGAGTTTGTTAATTTAGACAATACCTGCTCACTTTCCAATATCCACTGAGGTTTGGGGACCGTTACGAAGTTGATTTTCTTAGGATTTGTGGAAAGAATGATTCCAAAGATTCTCAGAACCCCAGCAATTGAAGCTCAACCTTATTAGACTTCATCACTGAAAACTTGGAATGGTAGAGAGTCTGTAATTGAAGAATTAGGTTTGCTTTGTCAGCCCATTATCAGCTGGATTTTGCATGGAATGTTCTCATGCCAGTGTCTGGGGCAATGGCCATTCCCATTGCATGATTGTTCTTGGGTTAGAGAATCTTCCTCCTAATATCTGATAGTGGGAGGTCTGAAGAGCATCCCATGCTCTTGGGTTTTTGCAACCTACCATTTGCTTTAGACGGCTGCGAAATCAGACACACCGGTTTTTATTATTACACATGCTACATCCGCTGAGTCATTCTTGCAGTATCAATAAGAATACTTACTTATTTCATAAACCTCTTGTTTCTTCTCTTCCAACAAAAAATAAAATACATTATTGCCATGCTTTTATTCCAAGAATTCCAGAACACTAATCTGAGAATGTTTGCTAAGTGTGATTAAATATTCCAAAATACAATGACATCATCATCATTGTTGACCTCATGAAGGAATATATGTCTTAGAAAAATGTTTGTTTTGTTAGAGAGGCATCATCTGAATAGCCCTGCCTCCCCTTCTGCCCCCGAGAGTCAGTCCCGAGATTCTGGATATACAGAGTCCATGAGGGAGGGGCACACTAGATAGAGTAGGCCAGCCAACAAGATGCTGCATGACTTGCACCAAAATAAATAAATACATTTAAAGACAAGATCCACCAGTCTAGTTTTTGTAGACCTGTGAAATGTATTACTTGTTGGCATTAGAAAGATACTCCTAATCCATCTCATCATTGTTTAGAGTTGAGGTGCACTGAGGTGAATCTATCATTTTCCATCATAGATTTCCTTTTTAAAAAATCCTTTTTTTTCCTCCTAACGTGTCTCTCAAAATGTAAATACTCTAGGTAAAACGGAATACCTCATAAATGATCAAACTGGAACACCTCTTCAACAGTAACTGACACATCTGTGGAGAAGTTTCTGGTACTGCAGTCCTACAACATGCGACCCATGTTGTTAAGAAAACATCCTTCTAGGTGAGAGGCAACTCGCTCCCATCATAAAGTCAACCTCTTGGAACTTCTCTTCCCAATTCGAAACAGAAAAAATGTCATTGACAAGTTGCCAGTTTTCACTGGCAAACCTTTGCTGAAACCTTTTTAAAACACCTCGCACTTGGACACGATTCTCCTACTCAGGAGGAAGGATCGGGGTTGCTTTGGGTTTATTATGAAGGTTGTACCACATAAGTAAATGATTCCTTTTTTCTTTTGCAAGAACGTTACACAAATTAGAATTGTTTTCTTTTCGTTTACTTGTTTTGGTCTTTAGCATATTTATGTCAAGTTTATATCGATTGGCAATATAGAGGCCCCATGAGGCCAGGGATGCTGGTCCTCAGTGCCTTTATTCCTTAAACATTCACTTACCACTTGGTGTGGCCTGGACGCCATGAGTCACCAATCTACCATGTCAAAGAGAAGACCTGCCCTGCCCTCAAGGAGCACATAGTTTTTCTATTTAAAATCACAGTGACTGAGATGATGGATATGTGGGTAAGAGAGACATGAAATCCTCTGGATAGCTAGGCATATGGAGGGTTAAGTGTGTCTCAACTTTAAGGGATCCACAGTTCAAAGAAATGGCAGCCTCTATTAAAAGATATAAAGGAAACCCTACAACATTGTGACAACTTGGAATGCATTGGAAGCAGAAAGTACCTCTGTTTCTCAGTGGCTAGTGTTTTCTTTCACTTGGAACTTGTTTGATGGTAATAAATACCTTCTGGCAGCTCCAAAAGCCATAAGTAGATGTGATTGTCATTGCTGAGTGGAGAGAATCAAGGCATCCCGGTTAGACAAGGCATTCATAGCCTTGAGGAAACCATGAAGAGAAATGCAGAGCAGGGTGAGAAGGAAACAGCCCTTCTCTTCTGTGTTTTTGCCATGAAAAGTGATGCATAGAGAGCCCCATAAACGGGATCTTTTCTAACCAACCAGCTCAGGTAGGGCCCCGAAATCAGAATAATAACCATGGTGCTTGAGGCAAAAGGTCTGTCTAAACAAAACCCATTAAGAGTCCTTACATTCATGGCTAGGTTCCTCATGGTCCCAATTTGAAAAGAAAATCCAAAATAAACCAAGCCAAGCTAGAATGCAGTATGTGGACCTGACTCGTGTTAGGAGGAAGAACTCACACACTCCCAGATCAGTTCCTTCTCAGAATCTTGTAAACGCCTGCAAGTTCTCTAAGTTCAGCTGCTCAACTTTATGAACTGTGAAATTTACACTAACACTTAGTCAACCCACATATACCGTTCAAGTTTATGAAGTTGCAGTGAACTGCCCATTCAGCTAAATGGTGATGCGTATTCTTGTATCGTGTAGAAATACAGCAATCCTGTGGGGAAATGTTCTGATGGCACATTCCACCTGTGTTAGACACGTGCATAAAGCCCCTCCTCACATTCCAGATCCACCTGCATCTCATCCGCACAGCTCCCTGAGAAGTTTGGGGGAAGGCTGTGGATGGACAGAGGGTCCTTTATTTTGCAAACACATTGTATAACACATCACTGCTCATCATGCCTAATGAGCATAAGATTAATGTTTTGAATAACAAACTGGAAAACAAAATAGTTGTCCAAAGAACCTAATGAACTGTTCAGAAGAAATCTTAATTCCTTTTACCAGACAAGTTAAATCTGCTGTTGGACACATATTTCAGAAATATGCCCATTATGCCAATTTCCACTATGTTTCAAGTAATCTAGAAGCACCAGGCTGCTGGGCCCAGAGTGCAAATGATGGCAAGTGGGACTTTATGCCATGAGCTCATAATAAGGGATTCTTACAGTCACAGCATATGAAGGCCCACTGTTTAGTCTTCAAAACGTGATGTTTCAAATTTTGTCTTATTGTGATAGCCAGAAACAAGGAGTAAATGCAATTTCAGTTCAAACTACATACAAATATTTTATGTGATCTTGCTGCTCTAATTTTTAGGCTATAAATTTTGTAATAGAGCTTATCAGATTGCGAATTTCCTTTGTTTACAATCTCATGTCGTAGGGCTCAGAAAATTTTGTAGCTATAAACCTTTTCTCCCATTTTTGTATTAAGGTCCAGTTCAAATATTGTTTAAGCTAAGCCTACAGATGGAATTCAATTCGTTAAGAATTTAAGGGATGTTCCTTCACTTTAACGGAAATGGTGTGTTCTTCTCAAAGACTTTTGTGATCGTCTTGACAGTCGCTGCGGTTGGAAACTGGTTGCAAACTCCTGGTTAACAGTTGCATTACCTTCGAGTGCATTATCCAATGGGCTCCATGTGTACCTCAAGAAAAATACCGTATGTTATGTCTGAAACAATTCGTTGTCTGTTTAGATTTAAATGGTTCCGAAATGTCTATAAATAAAATTTTCGAAGTTGCTCTTCTTGCTGTCAGTCCTTGAGTCAGACCAAGTACACAGTTTTCTAAGACTTCTCTTCCCCATCATCATTAAGGAGTAGGAAGTGTATCTGCTGGCACGTTCTGTATTAATAAGGGATGGAAGAGAGCAGGTACTGTACACAGTCAAAGGCTGGTGACCAGGCAACCTGATGGCATTCCACGAGAATCTGATGTGATCAGGAGATAGAGGACAAATACAGATGAACTGGCAAACTTTGAACACAAGTACTTAAAACCTATGGAGAGAGAGACAGTGAGAGGGAACTTGAGAAATTAGCCCCCACCCGAGGGGGGTGGCCATGTTGCAATCCCTTCTCCTCCAGGGATCTTGGGCACACATGCACACATGCTGGGCGTGAGTTTCAAGTCACTGGGTCCGGGACTTAAACTATGATTAGCCACGTGGAAGTCCAGCGATGCAACTGCTCCACCGTCTGCTGGCCCCCAAACCTACTATCTCCTTAACTAACATACAGTTAGGTTTATGTAATTACGGGATTGACGTAGGTTGGTAGAAACTTTCAAGGATCTACCTTGAGCTCCTAGGAGTACTTAACGTCAGATGTACACTAGGATATTGGACTCCGGTTGGGTTTTACAAAGCTAATTTGAATTTAGAAATAGTTGGGTTAAAATAAAATGTCCTCCAAGTCCTATATAGCTGAGGTTAGAAAAGGCCAAATTATTGAAAACAATAAGTGCTAGATACGTTCTTATTTTGCTGAACTAAATTTTTCCTTAAGATGTGGCCGGTTCCTCCTTGCCTAAATAATTCATACGTGTCCTTTGGGATTTACCGTCATCTACAAGCTGATTAGGTACTGCTTCTTTATACTGATAGAACTCACGTGCGAATCTGTCTCCTCGGAAACTGTACAGGCCCGCATACCAGGGCTCACGTCGGCATTGTTGTATCTTCAAAGGTAGATGCTGCTGAAGGTCCTATTGAGTGACGGCACGAGTGCCATTACGTTTCCAATGGCGGCCAGTCCATGCCAGCAAGACCAAGACCACGACCGCAGCCACAGGAGACACGAAGCAGTTCAAGGAATGCGCTCGATGAAGCATACACGCATTGTAGAATATCTGGGTAGACAACGAAAGCAGACAGGAGTTCGTTTAGAGGTCCCAGTGGAGTGCGTATCACCTGTGAATAAACTTCTGTTATAGTTTAATTAGGTCAGTCACTTCCATTCGTTCCTGGGTGTAAAATGAACCGAAAAGGTCAGTGTGTTCCCATGAGCTGACTTACATGGTGAGCCCTAAAAGAGATGGGAAATTGAAAAGTAGTAGGTATGGTTGAAGGACTTAGCTAAGAGTGATCTCAGAACTAGAAACAGTAATGGGTAAAGATGAAAAAAATTTAAAAAACAAAACAAACTAACAAACAAAAAACAGATTTGGGGCCTGTCAGTGATGTGGTTATTTAGATGTTTTGCTTTGTTTTATTTTATTTTATTTTATTTTATTATTTTTTGGAGAGGTTTTTGCTATAGGGCACGTGCACTCACCAGACAGATCGAGAGAGAAAGCGAGAAATCACCCTCCAGGCGGGATGGCCACACCACAATCCCTTCTCCATTCTCCTCTTGGGATCTTGGGCACACACGCACATGTGCCCGGCGTGAGTTAAAGCCACCGGGTTCTAGGACGTGAATCGCGGTCGACTACATGGGAGTCCAGTGACAGCCATTACGCTAACTGCTGGTCCCATTAAATGGTTTTATCCCACATGACCGACTGCACGGTTTGAGTCTTAGACCACTGTCTTGAGAAATACACCAGGCACATGTGCGTGCATGCCCAAAATCCTGAGAGGAAGATGGGGAGAAGGATCTGTAGCATGGCCATCTCCCTTGGGTGTGTGTTGGGGGGGGGGTTCTCACTTCACTCTCTCTCCCTCTTTCTCTGTGTGTCTTTCTAGCAAGCACAAGTGCCTTAGAGTAAATATTTTTAAAATTTTAAGAGTGAATAAGAACGAATCTATCACTGTTCAGGAGGAAGAGTGCAGGGCAGATCATAGCTGTTCAGAGCCAGAGGGAACCTTGGAAATTGTCTAGTTTGTCTTAATTTCATAGAAATGAGACCCGTGGAGAGTAAATGACATACAGGTTGTGACAATCGAAGCGCCTCCTAACTCCCCGTTGTGTATTCATTCATTCCATGGCAGCACTGCCCTGATACCCTCAACTTCCAACTTAAAAAAAATCAAAAAAAAATTTTATTTTTGTAGTGCATGAACTGCCTTATTCTGATCCTTTACTTCCTTTCTTCTAAGGCTAAAAAACAGAAGACAATTCTCAGCTGATAACTCCCCAGTCAGTGACAGGTGGAAATGCAAAGAAAACTCTCCTGCTTGTAAAGAGAGACTCTGAGCATGTCTCCTGCTCTTTGAGCAAAGAGATGACTCCGTGGAAACACTAAATGACACGGGTAAAACTTGGACCATGTAAAAGATTTACAGTACACACACCTTTCCTCTTCCTCTCATTGTGTCTACGAAGTTGCTAGGAAGAATTTACAAACCGTTACACCTAGGTGAAGAGGAATCTGTAGTACCACATATGGCCACAGGGTGTCAGGTTTTTCCACCCAGTCAATAGTTTCCTTTTTTTAAGAGATTTTTGCTAGGGTGCATGTGCTCACCAAAGAGATGGAAAGTGAGAAATCACGCCCCGGGTGGTGGGGGGTGGTGGGGAATGGCCACACTGCAATTCATTCTCCTCTATTTTCCTCTCAGGATTTTGGACATGCACGCACACACACCCAGCAAAGCACACACACCCAGTGTGAGCTTTAAGCCACCAGGTCCGGGACTCGAACTACGGTAGATTATGTGAGAATCCAGCAGCAAAACCATTATGCCATCTGCTGGTCCCTACCCAAGTCAACTCTTAAAGGAGTACAATAGTGAGTCAAGGATTAACGCTGTGAAATTTTCAGTCCCGTCATCTTGGAAGTTTCTATCTTCCCATCAGTCACTTTTTGACTTTTCTCAAGTAGCCAAAGGCACTGGAATCCTGAGATTATGAAAGTAAATAAAAATGGCTTTAAAAGTAAAGAATTGGAAAGTGAGGCACTGCAGTATTTTCAAGCCATATGTGACAAGTAGAGGGGTCTTGAAAGTACAAAACTGACTTGGCTTTCACTTTGCTACTACTTGATTCTTGGGCTTTGGAATTTTTAAAATAACTAATGGGAGTCCAAAGCTTTTTTGGTCAGGCAGGCTCCATGGCCTAGTGGTCAGAGGAGCTGGATCCCACACAGCCAACCATAGTCTGAATCCCAGCCTCAATGGCTAGAAAAACACATTGGGCACGTGTGCATCCATGCCTCAAATCCCAATGAGTTGAGTAATAGAGAAGCAATTACATGGTCATGGCCTATGAGGGGTTCCTTCTCCCTCTCCCTCCTTCCCTCCTACTCTCTTCCTCTATTTCTGATCAGTGCATACACCCTCTGGGAATTTAAAAAACAAACAAACAAAAAGTGAAAGAAAGAGAAAAAGGAAGAAAGAAAAAGCTCTTGCAAAAAAAGAAGTTTTTAATCCTCCGGGCTGATTTTGAGCAACAAAACAAAACCCTTAACCTAAATCAACACGTATCAAGCAATGTTATCATAAAACTGACTTTTGAGTTAGGGTGGAGACCGCATCTTGCCTTTTGAGCCTCCTTCATGACCTTCATGGCTAAACCACAGATCAACCTACGTGATCCTGGAAGGACAAAGGCAAGGTAAATCCTAATCAGGAAAAAGCGAATCGTCACCCTGCACTTTTCTTCATAAATGTTTCTGCTTCATTCTTTATGCTCTTTCCTACTCTCAGCACTTTTAATTATGATATATATAATATATATAACATACAATAAATATTCTTTTTCAATTCAGCTTTCTCTAATTGAAAAAGGGTG